GTAAGTTTTCTTTAGTTTCCTTTTGTTTTTCTTTCCGCACGAGATTAATTATTTTGCAATTGTGGCACAAATGTTCTGTTCAAGGCAAGCTGTGAGAAGCGCAGCAGGAAACAAAACTACATAAACTGTAAAATATAAATAAGCTAGTGGGAAAGTTATTTTCGTGGTGTCAAGTCTTATATATGCTTCTCGTCTTTGTGCTAGAAAGGTTACTTTGTATTTAGAAAATTTTATATTTTTTTAATTCTTACTGCGATGAAACTGAGCCATTTGTTACTGCGGCCACTTCCGGCCTGTTGTACCAGCCCCACGTGATAAATGATAGTGATTGTGGAGCAATTGGTGTGATGAAGATTTGCAGGGGAAACCGAAGTACTAGGGGGGAGAACCTGCCCAGCGCCTATTTGTCCACCACAAATCCCACATGATAAGACCTGGGCTCGAACTCTGCCACCGCGTTGGGAAGCCAGCGACTAACAGTTTGAACTATGGCGTTGCTAAACCTTATATTATTTTTCACTCTATTTTTGGGAACGAGTGGAATTTTCGATAAAACAAATTTATACCACATCCATGCTCCATTTTGAATTTGTTTTACTCAAGGACGGATTTAGGGGGGGGCGACTGAGGCGGTCGTACCGGGACCTCCATAAAACAGACACGGAATCCACATTTTTTTCTGCCATATTCTTCTCTTATCAGTTTGTACTTTTAGTTATTTTAAGATGTACGAAAAAAAAAACTGTCATAGCCTAGACTTGCTTTCACTGATAGGAACTCCGCATTTTAGCTACACCGAGGCCCTCACAACTGCAAAACTGGCCTTGGTTTTAAGATACTTGAAATCCATTACGTTCAACAGGACGGTCCCTGAGCAAATATGCTTATACATGTTAGAAACCTGAGTGTAATAAGTTAATTACACCCGAGTCTCATGATGGGTTTCCTTGAAACTAAGTTTCTTTGTCTTTATTAGACTTGGCCTAGGAAACGCTCTCAAATTAATGATACACGACAGTTCATTAATTCAACACGATGCTGGGATGAGCGCTAGGTGTGTCCTTCACTGTGTCTTGTCCTATAGAATAAACACTTCTATGACGCAGCAAAGTTCCAGAAACCAGAAGGGTCTTGGAAGGAAATTTGAAGTTACCATGGAAATAAGTAAATATAGGAAAATACATCTGCGTATATCTAGGTTGTATTTGGGAGGAAAGTGTAGTGGACCAATGGAGGTACGACCACGGAATTTTTTTGGTGGGACTGAGGAAAACCGCGAAAATCCTCAGAATAACCAGTGCCCCAGCTGAAAGTCGAACCGATAACATCCTGAATACAAGTCTAGAACGTTAGGGTTACACCAAGGTAAAGGTATACCTGCCCCTGAGCACTATGCCATGAAGAGGTGTGAGGAAGTGAAGGCATAGCTCAACCTGTCTTGACCTCGGCACTAGATGAAGGTGAGTGGTCAGCTTCACACACCTGCCGCTTTACCCCCAGGGAAAGACCCCCCCGGTGCCCATTGAATAAGAGCCTGGATGGGCCCCAAAGTCAGTCAGGACAATATGGATAATAAAAAGCTCTTCCAATGCCGGGAATCGAACCCGGGCCCTTCATCGCGTATCACGTCGCTATACCGACCTAGCCTTCCCGATTTCCTGCGGTTGTACAAACCAGCTGATTGCGAGGGATATTCGGAAAGTAAAGATACAAGCCCAGAAAAATGCAAGGGATATATTTTTTCAGAAATGTCAGTGCTGCCCTGTGAGATAGGAACCGTATGACAGCGCTGAATTCACCGGCCACAGTCAGGCAACGTTGTGCTCGCAGCGTGTGTTTAAAATGGCCGTGTCGATTCAAAATCCAGCCCAATGTGAAGTTCGTGCAGTAATTCGGTTTCTTCAAGCGAAAGGAGAAACTGCTATTGAAATTCATGCCCCCTTGATTTTTTTTTACGGAGAATATGTTATGAACAGGAAAAATTTGGTAAAATGGTGTCGTGAATTTGAAGCGGGAAGAAGTGACGTTCGTGATGAAATAAGGAGTGGAAGGCCATCCGTTGTCATTGATGAAATGATCCGAAAAACTGATGTAAACTTTTATGCTGACAGACTTTTAACCATCAATGAACTTCATCAACAAAGTCCAGAAGTGTCAAAAATTGTTCTCTAAGAAATTGTTACAAAATGATTAGGATACCGGAAACTGTGGGCGCGTTGGGTGTCGTAGTGCACGATACGAGTGCTTTAAGTAAAAAATCTTTACACAGAACGTAACGTGACTGAAGGTCTTTATACCTGTGTGATGTAATTTCTGATTTAAGGTTTAGGTACTGTATTTGTATATTTCATTGCATAAGGAGCATTAGATGTAACTTTGAAAATGAAAACTGTGTAAGAGTACTGTTGGCGCACGTCGGCATTGCTCTACTCACTGATTACAGATATACTTTGCAGATTCAACACTGAACATGAGTTGTTAAATTTTACACGGCTCATAAAACAGATTAAATGCAAATCGAGATGCAGAATTAGAATTATGATCTACTCGTATGATTCATGTTTCACACAGATCACCTAGTAATTATTAAGCGGTCTCTGCAGGGTACGCATGGAATGAACGTATATATGGATGGTCATATGCGTCGGTCTCTCTATACGCCACTACGCTTCAATTACAGAACTGTTTGTAGATATTTGATTAAATTTGGTATGGACATACACCCTTCTAGGCTACCCTAAAATCATACACCTTAATCTCCTACCAATGAGCAATATGCAGGCGGTAGCGTAGTTGGTTGAGGCACTATTCTACAAGCCGGTAGGTCGCCGGTTCTATTTTCGATGTCATTGAATATTTCGATTGACCTAATCCTTTCAGCCTCATTATGGTCCTGGGGTCCACTCAGCCTCTGACAGAAATGAGTACCAGGAATGTACCTGGGGTAAAGGACAGCCGGCGCTTAAGGCTGACAACCTCACCGCCAACTGTTAGCCGAGTGTCTAGAAAATATGGGATCCTTGACGTGTCACAACTCTATAGGCTCTGACGGTCTGTTTACAGGGATAGCTTTAAATTTTTGTACTTTATGATTAGTAATATCAACATAAAAGACGCATGAACTTGGGAGGCAGGAGCGACGCTGGTTCAAGTAGGTTCCTCGATTTAAGCAGGGTAACAGATCTCTGAAAAGTGTGCGACTTTTGTGAAGACATGGCTTTATATACTGTGTATGACAACAAAATGGTGGTTGCATGAAGTCTACAGTATAGTCACCTTTCGGTTTAAAAGCGAAAACTAATGAACCATTCCAGAAAGGCTTGTGCAAAATTTTCAGAAAGAGAAATCATGTACGCAGCTAACATACTCAATGTAGCCGAGTCCTCTGTGAAAGGTCACAAGTCGTTCAACTACTCAAGAATTTCCCAAAATTTTATGGAACCAAAAGGTTCATTACTGTGTTTACAAGAGCTCTCCACTGCTCCCTACCCTGAGCCAGATGAATCAAGTCCATACTATCCCATCTTATTTCTCTAAGGTCCATTTTAATATTACCATCTCACCCACATCTATGTCTGCATAGTAGTCTCTTTCGTTCTGGCTTTCCAACCAAAACCCTACACCTATTTCTCTTCTCTCATGCGTGCTATAAGCCCAGCTCATCGGCTACTCGTTGACTTCACCATTCCAATTATATTTGGTGAAAAATACAAGTTATGAAGCTCTTCGTTATGTAATTTTCTCCAAAATTCTCTTATTTTATCTGTCTTGGGTCCACGTTTTCTCCTTATCACCCTGCTATCGAATACCGACACTGTATTTTCACGATTCAGAGTGTGACAGTAGACGGGGATTGGATTGTGAATGGATTTATTGATCACTTATGCACGCGACTTGAACCACAAGCAATTACAGCACCATCGATTATCTCCACAAGTCACAAATTATCACAGCTTCCGCTAAGCATTTCCAGCCAGCTCTATCTTCACCAGTCGTTATCTGGAAAAGGTATCTAACAGTGTAGATTCTTCAGCTTCACGCACTCAAGTCCTATCTTCACAGACTGCCGTATAGAACTGACTTTCAACCGATACCTGACTTTGGTCGTCCCAACTGTCTTCAAGACGACGTAGAGACACCCCGTTTCCAACAGTATCTCTATTGTTGCGTGTCGATTCATTGCTGCGGAGCCGTTGCCGTTGCCTAGAAACACCTATTCGCCTATCTCGCGGTCGTCGCATAGTGACTGCTGTACATTCTGCAGAATGTTTTTTCCTCATTGTCAGAGACCCGGTTTCATCCATACAAAGCTATAGGCAAAATTATAATGGTAGCAAGTATTAGCAGAATTTAATTTGCTCTTTATCTTTTCATGAAACAAATTCTGATCTGTTACTGCCGTTTCCAGGTATTAGAATTTTTCTATACATTTAAATGATCTATTAGCTATCTTCATGTTACAGTTTGGCCTGCAATCTGATGACGAAACGTCAACATGTACTTAGTACACTGTGTTTACTTCTAGATCAATCTTCTTAAGGGGCCCATACACGTACGAGTCCGGCTCGGGGAGCTTGACTCGGATTAATTTCACCACACACGCATGAGCATGGCGACTCACACACGGACGAGTTTGGCTCATCGGAACCCGAGCCGAGTCGGACTCGAGAGCCAGACTCGTACGTGTATGGGCCCCTTTACTAGGGTCAATCAGAGCTTCTGTGTGTTTTAAGGCATATATGTTATTTTCCAACAGATTCACATCAGCATAAACCAGAAGCCGATGTGTCCCATTCAATTTTAATCCCACTCGATTTTCTTGGATCTTCCTAATGACGTATTCTAACAGATAGTACAAATGCCTACAAATTCTGTCCCATGGCGAATTTTGGTATTATCGGTCTGATCCTTAAAATTCAGGAATGACAATTTCCGTTAATATTTAAATTAGTATGGTATGGTAGCCTAACTTCTTAGTAACAAATTTCTTTTTGTTTCAGGCACTGAACAAGGCATCCATGAAAAGAAACTCCTCACAAAACTACTAGAGAGGTACAACGTTTTGGAACGGCCTGTAGCAAACGAGTCAGAACCCCTCGAAGTGAAATTCGGCCTCACGCTTCAACAGATAATTGACGTGGTGAGTTAATGTTTCGGTGTTCTGTACGAATTCTACCAACATTAAACTACATCCAACCGGAACGAGAGTTAGGCAATCAATATGTGTAATTTGTAAGTATAGACCCTGGCCAATAATTTCAGTATACGACCAACTCACTCTGCCAGAAGTCCCATACTCAACGTCCGATGAATACACACATCACAAACGTGTACTCAGTGACGTACTCACATAAATAAAAGTCCATTATATTCTGGCTTAAAAGAACATATAGGGTATACACAAAAGAATGTGCGGTTTCAAAAGTTAATAAAAGATTTAATTCTCAACTTACACGGGCACAACATACACTGTCAGATGAGGCAACTGTCCAAGTTTCTCATGCGCTAATTAGAAACCTCCAATGTGTGCACCCTTGGTCACACGATACATATCCACACGGTAATCAAACTCATCCCAGACCCGGTGTAGCATGTCCGCTGTAATGGTCTGCAGCGCATGCGCTATCCGATCGCGAAGTTCGTGGATGGACGTGGGCAATGGTGGTACATAAACGCTGTCTTTAACGAACCCTCAGAGAAAGAAACTGCACGGTGTAAGATCTGGAGAACGGGGTGGCCAAGGGAGAAGGTTCTTATCTCCATTTGCAGCAGAGTTTGATTACCGCGTGGATGTGTGTCGTGTGATCCAGGGTGAATACACTGGAGGTTTCTAATTAACGCATGAGGAACTTGGACAGTTGCCGCTTCTGACAGTGTATGTGGTGCCCGTGTAAGTTGAGAAATAAAATTTTTATTAACTTTAGAAACCGCACAATTCTTTTGTGTATACCCTGTACACAAACATTTTAATACACTTTAAATAGTATACATCCTGATATGTATGTACTTTGTTTGCCTTCCTGAAGGCTCACTATATAGTGTACGCACGCGAATAAATGTCCATGAGCTTTTCTTGAACGAATAAATATCTATTCTTAATTTTGTATCCATTTCAAAATTGTTTAAGATCCAAGAGCTATTTTTTTAGAACTAATCATATGTCTGGGAGTATATTTACGACTACCCACTGGCGGGGTAAATAATGCAGCAGGCATATGCACATACATACACATGTACATAATTCTGCTTGGACGAATATGTATGTCTGTATCAGAAGGTGTTGAAACAAGAAGGATACCTTTTCTTGGATGCGATGCCATGTATTTCGGTATGAAATCGCCGACTTTTCGGGGGAACGTACTTACTCTATTTCAATTCGAAGAATAAGCCAAAATGGCAAGAAGGAAGTTGAGATGAGCACGTTTTTGACAGTTTGTTTTATTTCTCGACTCTGAAGATGGAAGCAATAAGTCTCTCTGAAATATCGGTAAACTTTTACTGCTGGAACATCCCGGAAGACTGTACTGCCCATACACACCGGTGTCAGAACTTCAAATGCAATAGCTCTAAGTCCGCTGTCAGTATGAATGTATATATTTATTTTAAAATAAGTTTAAAGGTCATTACTAATGAAAACGATTTAATGTTTAGAATCTGTTGGTTGAGAAGGAACTGTTTTTCACCGGGTTAAGACAAGACAATTTAAAACTTGCTTTTAATTGTCTCAAGGGACAAACATCCCGAAGACTGAAGCCTGAACTTATAAGTAATGAACTGTCAGTTACATACTTCTAGATGGCTCTGTACAATCGAAGCAAAATATGGTTAACTCAATGCATAATTAAGATCTATTCTATATAATAATTCAAAGTATTAATCTTCTCTTCTTGCGCTTGAACGGTACTCCCATATTTGAATCTCAGTAAGATATACGTTCAAGTAAAGGGTCAGGAAAGGAAACACCAGGAAAAATCCATGGAGTCGAATTTATATTCCCCATATGCTAAGCCTTAGTAGAAAAGAAAAAACAAATATATTTCCTGACGGAGTCTCGAAGACAAATAAATTGTGCAATATATAAAAAGGAATCTCAAAAATACATGAAAATTAACTGTATCTAATAAACTGTAAGTCGGACAAAAGGAGAAAAAACAAAATTATCTTGCATTTCGCTTCTACTGTGAAAGAGTAAAATAATAATTATGTATATAAATTTATAGTATGCTGCCTCATACATTTTCACAATAAACAGCTTATATATAGAGAGAGAGACAGAAATTAAAGAACAAAAATGTCTCCTTTTCTTTATTTACTCAAATTCGTATGGTCGATGGCGGATACAGAATGCCTAAAATTGTCTTCTGAGTACTTGGCGCCGAAAAGAGGGGAGGAGAAATGTCACATTCAGCTTCAATTTTCACAATAAGGCGGTAAGTTTCCTCAGTCCATAGCAGCAACAGGATTCCTATAAAATATGTCACAAGAAAATTCTCTAACTGAAGGCGGAGAAAGAAAGAGAAACAAAATATATTTACATGTAACTGCTTGCTCTACAAAGAAAAGAAATACGAACAAATTGGACAAAGAGCGCCTGAAGAATCTTCGTTGAAACACATCTTAGTTGGCCAGGTCGGGACATAGATGTCAGCACGTTTATATTCATGATCGTATTAAGTACCGGGGCACGCCGTAGTGTAGTCGGTTGAGGCACTATGGTACAAGCCGGAAGATCGCGGGTTCGATTCCCGATGGGCTCACTTTTTTTTTCATTTGCCTAATCTTTCCAGCCGCACTATGGCCCCGGGGTCGATTCGGCCTCTAACAGAAATGAGTACCAGAAATTGCTTAAAAAGTAACTTTCCTGGGGGGTAAAGGGCGGCCGGTGCGTAAGGCTGAGAACCTTACAGCCATCTTTGAGCCGATTGTCTAGAAGATGTAGGAGCCTCGACGTCTAACAACCCTATGGGTCTCCATGGCCTGTCACAGGGATAGCTTTATTTTTACCTTTTATTAAGTCCCTATTTTTATAATATTGATCATAAGATGCATCAGAAATAATTTCACCTCCTGTACCGTAAGTGAGGAATGAAGCAGAAGAGCGCCATTTTAAAACGCAACTGCTAAACTGTTAAATGGAAAGATAAAATAGAAATATCAACAAATGTTAGCAAGCAGAGATCCGATACCAAAGAGGGATCTGACTCATGAATATTAATAACATATGGAAATTATTTTGAAATTTTACGATATTACAATATGGGCGCTTATGTATCTCTGCTGGTTTACAAACCTGTACGTGCTTTTGTAACTGTAATAAATAATACGATTCTTTTTTGTGTTGAGTGTAATCAAAGAAATTCGCGTAACATACAGCGTCTGGAGGGGGGATGTAACATGAAATAATGCCCATTTTAAAATTTGACAAAACAGGTAGTTTTCAGATAAAAATTAATAATTTAATATACATTTGCGTTTTGTTACATGTTCGATACTATAATAATCATATTCACAAGCAATTATATAGGAATTCTAATTTCATATTCAGTTATCCCGGCATTCTTGCTGTAAAATGCTATCAATATATGCCTAGTTATATCTATAATCTAATTGTAACTGTCAGAAGAACCATATACAGTATATCCTAAATATTAACCGAATAAGAAACACATACCTACATCGATTTAAGAGTATCAGTTATGGATGAAAGAATTCTAAGCACAAAACATATGCGCAAGACGTATAAGCGGATTATTATCGGCTTTAAAACATGTTTCTGCTTCGAAGAACTCAGACCGTGGAAGCGGCAAGTGACTTATTGTTGTATGTTTGGATTTCACATTCAAAAGATTTATCTGTTCTGTTCTCAGTCAGTTGTTCCAATGCGTCGGACTCCGCGTCTATTCAAATGTGCAACACAACATCAAAGCGCCATGTCGATCAAAGAAGGAATAAAAACGAAGAAGAAAGAAAGAAAAGCGAAACAGCTAGTGAAAAAGGAAAGAGGAAAATAAATATAAAAGACTTCTTGGTAAAATATCGCTTATTATTTTTATATTATTAAACCGCAACGAGTTTAACCCTTTAAAGGCCAGTGATTCATATACTTTTCACCTCTTCGCCTGCTTTAACGTATTAACATTCTTACATCCTACCCATAGAATGTAGGTCTAATTGTGCGTTTGGTACGTTTGTCGCATAAACAACAGTCGCCCCATCCCCGAAGAGTACTAAGAGGTTGATTTTTATAGCGGAGATTTAATAGGTCTCCTGTGAGGTACGAACTGAACTTGTATATAGTATTAAAATAAATTTAGTCTTTAAAGAATTAGGCGACTAATATTTTACCAAGTCACACAATTTCAACCAGTATCTCATGTCGGATGTCGATACAAATGCGTGTTAAAGGAAAAGATGCCAAGGAAGAATAGATCTGCACTAAAAATAGGCATAGCATATTCCTTATCAACAGTGAAGTATAAAAGGCAAGGTAAGTTGTCCCTGTAACAGGCCGTACAAGTCCATAGGTTTCTCAGACGTCTGAGGCTCCCACATTTTCTAGACAATCGGCTCACAGCTGGCGGTGAGGTTGTCAGCCTTACGCACGGGCTGCCCTTTACTCCCTGAAAAATTCCCAGCACACATTTATGCTAGAGGCTGAGTCAATCCCAGGGCCATAATGCAGCTGGAAGGATTAGGTCAATTGAAAAGTCCAATGACCACATCGGTAATAGAACCCGCGACCTTCCGGCCTGTAACATAGTGACTCAACCAACTACCTTGCCGCGTGCCCCCAGTGTACAGATTTATAAATCTGAAGGGTGACTTTACAGAATACAGAATTCAAAATTGTCTCTGACTTCATAAGCCACCCAGAGAACAAAATAAACGCCAGATAATTGGGGAAAATAATATAATTACGGCTGAAAATATAGAAAACATTTCACCCCCCATACAGCATGCCACAAGGTGCACATGGAACCTGGTACTTGAACACAATTGTAAACGCAGCCACAGAAGGAACTAACTGGCCAAATTCAAGTTTCAGCCAACATTACACCCGCAAAAGTTTTCCCGGTACCAGTTATAGGCAGTGTTCAGAAAATAATTAAGAAGACAAATACTATATCTAAAGTCCTGTTG